ACGCCCTCCTGCGGAGCTGCCACCGGTCCTGACATTATGACTGAGGCTGGAGTGGCGGAGTCCACCAAGAAGCGCAGAACACGTGGCCCGCCGGCGGGGCTGTGGCTGATCAAGTGCACGGTGAGGCCCACCATGTTGTCCAGCTCCTCGCGCTGGAGAGCCTGGAACTGATCCTGAAGCTGCAGCAGCACCGGGGGGCGCAGAAACTCCACCAGCTCGGCAGAGACGGCACCAAGCAGGGTGGGCGAGAGCGCCGCTAGCTGCAGGAGAAAGGGCACCGTGGCGCGGCGCAGCTGGGGGGAATTGTCACGCACCACGGCACCGGCAGAGGGCTGGGCAGGAGAGAGGCTCTCCTGAAACATCCGCAGCAGCTCCTTCTTGATGCTGTCAGAGTGACGCGACGCCAGATGCCCCAAGATCCCCACCACGGAGCCAATTTTGGGAATGCGGCAAGTCTTCTCCATCGAGGTCAGGGCCAAAGAGCCCTGCTGACTCGGGATTTCAAGGGAGGCGGCAGAACCCTGGTAGCCGTGGGCGCAGAAGTCTTTGAGTCCACAGGCCAGTACACGACTGATGATGGTGCCCGGGAAGGAGGAGCCGATGTGGGCGACCACCCAGTCAAAATGCGGAGAGTGCTGCACGGATGTGTCCAGCAGGGCATCCACGCAGGCGTCCGGGCACCAAGCCAACATGGCCGCCAAGCACTGCGAGTAGCTCTCCATCAGAGACCGTGTGGCTGAGCAAGACATCCACAGCTGCAGCAGCTCGTTCAGACTGGAGGAGTGTGGAGCTCCACGCCGACCCGCATGCTTGCTACTGAGCTGACCTAGGAGCTCCACCGCCCAGGTAGACACCAGCGGGGCCCAAGCTTTGGGGTTCAGCCGGATGAACTCGGAGAGGACACCGTGGATCTCCTGGATCACGTCCTCCAGGCCCAGGGTCCCACCACTGCCGATGCCACCATTGCTCTCCCCCTCCAGGTCTTGCAGGAAGGTCAACACATACTCATCATACACCCCCCTCAAGTGCTCAAGGGCCGCGCCCCGGCAGGCTGGTACGGTCCGCAGCAGACGGACGGCACAGCGAGCATGGTCCCGCATGCTCAGCTTTCGGCCTTGAGCCTGATCGACCCCACTGATGAAGGCCTTTATCTCTAGGGCCAGCTCCTGAGGGCTAAGATTCAAAACAACAACAATGGAAGATGGGGTGAATGGATATGAAAAGCAAAATAAGAAAAGGGAAAAAAAAAAATGAAAGCAGGACACAACGTAGAATTATTTAGCATGGTTAAGTAACACAAAATGCAGAAAAATTTATGTGCAGTAATTTAAGGTTGCACACTGCATATGAAACATATGACCATCATTAAAAACCATTAAGCAGCAGACATAAAAACATAATTTGTAACATGTAAAGCTGAAAAAACAACAAAAGAAAACCCATCCAAATAATTTATTTTGCAGTCACTAGTCTAACTAAAAATAACCCCTTAGCAGAGGGAAAGTGTGACATAAATCAATTATAAAAATGTTATAATGTGGCCTTCAACACAAATAAACCATACTGTTATACAGAAAAGGGAAGTACTTTACCTGATACTAGTCTGTAGTGGCTGCGAGGACTGCATTGCTGTAAGTGGCGCTCCGTCAAATAAGGCAGACATCGTTCAATTTTTCCCAAGTGTAAAACATTCAAACTAATTTCCAAAAAAATCCTGTAATTATAACACCGTATATAGTCTATAGTGCGCGGACGTGAAATAGCAAACCCAGACGAGTTTGTTTCCTTTGAAATGTAGCCGCGGAGAAGACTGTCTACACTGCTGTCACATTTTAAAGATTCCCACTAGGAAACAATGAATGTGCACATCAGGTTCCGAATGCTTTTTAGACCGGTTTACTAATTTCTATTCAGGTTAATTTAAAAAGACACTGAATAACGTATTAAATGCATCATACACTAGAAAAGGGGAAGCGTTCGAATAACTTCAACTGGATGTAGATGACAGTTACTTATTAATCGCATATGCAAATCTTGTTAGGTTTTAGTTTCTCAATTTTCATGATTAAGCCGGCAAATGCAACACATTGTTCGTTCCTTGGAGTATTTTGTGATTAGGAAAAAATTACATTAGGCCTAAAGGTATCCACTGCTTGTCGAACGTTCACTTTACGAAACTTTGCTTTTACGAAAGACCTGCATTAGCACCTGATTTAACTAAGCGAAAGAAATCCGAGATTTTTCGCTTTTACGAAAAAAGGAGTAAAGTAAAAAGTGTTTAGCATTTGTTTATCAGCGAGTCAACTATTGATGCGCTGAATAATGACGTTTCCGTTAACGACGGTACAAATATGTTTATGTCACATTATAAGCAGAGCTGCAAAAGTCTTGTCGCTTAGAGACATCTGTCATAGCGCAAGGCGTTTGTTGTGATGCTGATATAAACAAACCAACTGCCCTGCCAGTCGCATAAAATATAGTACATACAGTTATGAACAGTATATAATATGAACAGTATATAACTATAAATTGAACCACTATATTACTGGTTTATCTATTTACTATACTGTACATTATATTATTTTAGAATATACTCTTTCTGCTTATAAAAAAAGTTTACTGTAGCCTGTGTGTGTAGCAGGTTATACCATCTAGGTTTGTGTAAGAAGACTATGATGTTCTTACAATAGCCAAATCGCATAGTGTCACATTTCTCAGAATGTATCCCAGTTGTTAAGCAACACATGACTATATTTATTCTTGTAGATGAAGATACACTGTACATACATTATTTCTACTTTATATGGGTTGTGTATTTATCATTCTTGCTTTTACTAAATGTTAGTGTTATTTTCGCTTTTATTTATTATTTGAATTGATTCCTTATGTTAGTTTTTCGGTCTGGGAATGCTCAAAACTTTTTCCCATATAAACTAATGGTTTAATGCATTGCTTTAAACATAATCCTTCAAGGTGTGACCAGCATTAGCAGTGTTTACTGTCTGGTACTTTATACCTGTAAATCTGGAACGCAAGCTGAACCTCAAAACAAAAAGTCTGTGATGAGTACAGTATAAGGCTGTGTAGTCATTTATAAGATGAATGATTTGCCAAGTATACAGTATATTCAGTATTAGGGTAGGGCATGGTGTAGGCGGGAAGAGGGGACAATCCATGGAGGCTCCAAGACAAAAATGATTTTATCAAGGCCGTAATTATAATATATTTGGGGGGGGGGGGGGCGACAATATTCAGATGTGCTCACAATATCCCCCCCAACATGTATTATGGTTGCGTCCTTGGTCCCCCTAGTGTTGGGTCCATAGCTATGGCCTTGGGATTTATTAATAATCAGAAGAATCAGGGCCAGTTTCACAAAGCAGGATTTGTTGCTTAGCTGGATAACTTTTTTTATTTAAGGTAGTCTGAGCTAGATGCACTTTATCTTTGTACACTTACATTTAGCCCTCGACTACCTTAAATCCAACAAGTTATCCGACTAAGCAAGAAACCATGCTTTGTGAAACAGGCCCCAGAAGTAGAAAATCATACCAAACACTAAAGAAAAATGAAAACAATATAAATTAACCAAAAAGGTGAGACTGGCCTCTGACTAAACTCAAAATCATGACCGGAAGGATGATAGCTTCAGAGCCACTCACTCAACCCATCAAGCTATATGTAGTGACCTGAGGAGCAGGGAAACACGCAAAGGAGTAGCGTTAAAGAGAGAGGGGGAAGCAGGGTGACCAGTGACCTGGGGCGGATTAACGCACAGGCTAGATATGGCTTAAGCCTAGGGGCCCCACGTGTGCCAGCCTGCAAGGGGGCCCCCATTGGTGCGGGGCGGGGTTGGGGGGCCCACAGACTACTGTAGCCTAGGGGCCTCTGTACACCTTAATCTGCCCCTGCCAGTGACGCATGCGAAATATACGAATATAAACGAAAGTGAATGGGCAAAGACCTCTAAATAAATAAAATGTCGTGTTGTGCTGTTGGTTGCCAAAGTAGAAATTCAAAAAACAACGAGCTTCATTTGTATAGGATACCGTCGTCAAAGACAATATTTGAAGCGAAACAGATCTAGATAATATTCATCTAAAAATTACATAGGCCTACAGCAGTATGTCACGCCCCGCTCCGTCCGCTCCCGATGTGTGCCACGCCCACCTCATTACCTCCTGTTTTGCCCTGATTGTTCTAACCTGTGGCTTGTTGTCCGTGGCTTGTCTAGTGTATTTAGTCCTTGTCAGAGTCAGTTATCCCCAGATCAGTCATTGTGTGGTGTCCGTTGATGTCCGTGCTTGAACGTCTGCCTGCTATTAAACCCCGTTACCCTGACTACCTGGCTACGCTCGCCTGCTTCCTGCCTGCTCTACCCGCGAGCGTGACACAGTAACCGTGGTAGTAGTTGTAGTGATGAATAGAAAAAAATCTATATGTAAATGTATACTCACCCAGCCATGCAAATGCAGTTTGCCGTCAGTATATAATTGTTATGTAATTGTTAAAATTGTTAATGATTTTGTATAGTTGGGTTTTATGTCCTTGCCGCTGGCTATGTAGTACGTCGGTCTGTGGTACACAAAAGTCATCAGACAAATCTCTGTATTCAAGGTCCTGTACATGACCACAAAGCAAGAAATTGTACGCCTCGAGGCATTTATATGCCTTAAGTTTTTCTTTTGTGTATGCGCTTGGACTTTCGACCGGATAGACGAAAATGTCCGGCCACTGTAACTCGGACAATTTACTTGGGTGCTTAACACACTGATCCGACAGCAAGTATACGGATCCGAAAACCTAACCCAATTGCTAAACGTTAATTTATTAATGTATGATAATTTATATTTTTTTCTGGCAAAGCATCAAAATAACCGAAGAAGTCGTGCGGATTATTCGTAGATGATTTTGGCACTCACACCTAAATACCGCTACTTACAGTATGATCAGTCTCTTTTTGCCACCACTTAGGCTCCGCCCACAACATACGTCATGGTCTGAAAGCAGCTGATCGGTCCTGGTAGTTCGCGTTGCCGCTCGCGCTGCCTTGCTGCTCTTTGGGGAGGGAGACGGTCGCGGTCACGCTGGGATACCATCTCATCTCCGATCACCTCTATCCGGTTAAGTATCATTTCGGCTTCCAGTTTCCCCTAAAAACTAAAGCATGCGATCCTAAATTAACAATCAAGAGAGAAAAAGATTTAGAAGCCCAAATGAGAAGATCGAGCGACGTAAAAGGTTAAAATATGTTGACGAGCTAGTTCACAAGTAGTCGGGAAGGTTCTTGTCGTTAGCTAGCTAGTTTAAGCTGCAGAATAAATAATAAGCTATATTTAGCAACCCTTTGTCAGTTATCTAAGGTGGCAAATGGCTAGCTGCACATTTAGCAAAACATGTTTTTCTTCTTTTCCTTGGAATTGTCATCAGATTGAGATTTAAGAGTTGGTTAACCGGGTAGCTACAATATTCTAGTGGGTTGATAATATTCACTTTACTTAGTTTAGAAATGTTGGAATAACATCACCGGTAGGGTTAAAATTATAATTATCGGCCTCTCTGTGTGTCTCTTTGTTATATTGTTTAATTTGAACCAAGTTCAAGATACACGGGACTGATTCAGCAATTACATTGATATGAATGTCAGAAGTCGAGTCAAAAATATAAATCTGCGCGGAAGAATGGAAGTGCCAGTAGCTCCTTTTATTATACATTTAGAGGTAGCCTACAGTTGTGCGAATACAAAAGTGAAAACTCTATGAGGCAAACTGATTTAAATCGAACGAATTTCAGTTCGCTTTTCCCCAACTTTTCTCATTTGCTTAAAGTTGCACGCTGTATTTGTGATTATTACACATTAGTGTTTATCGTAGATATCTATTCCTTATTTATGCTGGCGGGACGGTTGTCAAACGACGTTTTGCTGCTCTGTGCAGTGACCGTAAAGATTTCTTATTCATCATATTTTTTCAGTGTTTGATGATTCAAACGAGCGGTATTTATTCCTCTGTAAAGCAAGTTGTAATTGTATTAAAATCAGACCAAACTATGAGATCTTCATTTTAGCTATATTTGGAATAATATAATTGTTTTAAATATATATTTTTAAAGCTCTTAACTGTAACACAGTACTTGACAGTGGTCAAGGTAATAAGTTAAGTTTACTTGGTAATAAATTACTACTGAAGTACAAATCTTGAATAAATACAGTCGCTACTTGAGATAAGATGCGTCACAATTCATTAATGAACAAACATAAGTATTTCACTTGTGTTATTCATTACTTGTTCCTTCAGTAGTTCATGAAGGTTTACAGAATTGACATATATAGTGACAAATTTAGTAACTTTTTGGGATAAAACGTATGTCACGATTCATTAATGATGAAGTAACATGAGATCAGTATGTATAACTAAGACGAAGTTTGTCGTTAATTAATACATAATAGTATAATACTATATTATTCGTGCCATGTCGAATAAAGTGTTACCCTTTTAACCTACTACAACCACTGACTTGGATAAAGTGATTGAGGACAGAAAAATTGGAATTGGTGAATCCCTGAAAGATGCAAAGAAGATACTAAATATAGGCTTTAGGGTAATAGTGGTTTCATAATAAGTAATGTGACAATAATGACAACTTGGTAATGTATTTACCTTATTTGAAACCTCAGTTTTCAACTCGATCATGATTCTCAATTCTCAGCTTGAAAGGTGTTGTTTACAGAGGAACAGAACCTTTACTGTATACGCTGATTTACATTTCTACGTCATAACTTGACGCGCACTTCCCCTTAAAAGTAACCGCAAGAACTGCACGCTTGGTATTGTTTGTATTTTAATAGGAGCGAAGAAAGTGCACACCCCGGGGTACTTATATTGGCGATTGGACCTGAGGCGTTAGTTGTGTATAACATTAATTAATGTATTTAGTTATTTAGATATAACGTACGCTTCGGTTTCACTTTCTCTCGCTTCTCCATAATTTGCGCTAAAGATTGTTGTTGAGGTCCTTCTCTGCTAGCATTAGCAAACTCCGAGTAGTCTGCACTATGATGCGTCTTCTAATGTTTGATCAAATTTCTCGTGTTAAATGACGTGCTGTCCCTGCATCCTCTTGAAACTCTAGCTTACAGCGTGGTAAAGTTGGTTTTATATTCGACATTCGTTTGATATTCGGATTTGCCTCTCCTATATCTGTGAAACGACACCAC